CCGAACAGCACTGGATTCGGTCTGCCACGTTCTCAGGTGACGTTCTGACCGAAGTGATATGATTACGTGGTAGAGTAGGAGAAGTACAGGGTGTTCCATTTAAAACGCAACCCCGAAGTACGGTAGTATTCGTAAGATTTGGTGTCTTAGTGTTTCTTCAGGGTTCCGTAGCGTGTCGCCTGTCAACAGCGTCTGATGTTTTCCTACGCAAACATTCCTCCGTCCAATTGACGTCGTTAGCGTATTTATGTCTTCTTCGATACTTGAGTAAACGATTTCAATTCGAGTATAGTTCGAGAATGAATGGTGAATGCTCGAAATTGTACACTTTTTGCTTAACTAGAGTGACCTTGACTCGGGATTCTGCCACGCGCTGGTAAACCTGCGTTGTAGCAGCGTGCGATATTGTTCAATTGGGTTGCGTTTTAAGTGTCACAACCTGCGAATGTAATTAGAAGATGCAGTACGCGCTCGCTACCCCTGCTCAGGGCCCATCACCTGGTTCACTCACTGTACACGTGTACACTCAGTTCACAGCCCAATGGAAAACATTTCCAAAATTATTTGCCAGATTGTGCACATTTGAAATAATAATAGTAATAAATCATGTGTGAATCACATGTGAAATATAAGTTAGAATATTTTTTTTATTTTGAATTTTAATGGCCGTGTGAACGTGTGTAAACCAGGAGGGATATGAGAGGTTTCCATTTGTCAGTGGAACTGAATGTACACATAAAACAGTACAAACAACTACAAACACAGTCGAACAGAAGTGTTTCACTTGCTGGTCGTGTCACCCAGCGCAATATCCTTTACTAACAAATGAAATTACGTCGTGTGAATCTCAAAAAGGAGTTTTTGAAACACAAAAATATTGCTTACGAAGTTGTCAGCTGTCAGAATTGTGAGTAAGCCGGATTTTGGTTAAAAAACATTTTTTTTAAGATTTAATGGGTCGACGGGGGTCGAATTGTAACAAATTGTAAACGAAAGGATGACTTTTCAGCTCAGTGAGTTTTCCCCGTCTCTCCTCGCATCGATTAAAGAGACAGCACATTAAACGTTAAATTACATACAATTTTGTCTGAATAACTGTTTGGAACTGTTACATATCGAAGTTGCGAATATGCAAAGCGGATTTTGAGTACCATAACTTTGAAACTAAATTCCACACGAACTTGGTAAAGTTATTTCTTGTCTTTAGCCGAACAATGCACTGCGGTTTAACATTAATTTTGGTATGCTAATGTGTGGAAATATTAAATTTTAGGGAAATTTGTCAAAACGCGAGTCCGATATCGACGCGAAGTGTTGGATTGTCGGCAGAGATGGCGCTGGGATCACGACCGCTCATTAGTATGATGCTTGCAGTACCATGCACTCAGTCAATAACAACGAATCAGGAACGTTGTACGGTTCCCTTGGATTGGAACGAGCTGTCAGGAAAAATAGCAATTAGTTGTTCATTGAGAATGACGCCTGCAGAATCCGAAAACCACACTCACAAATATCACTCCTCGATATTCCGTGTATAATGAATGAATGCATCGCTTAGGCTGAAATTTGCGGTGTTGTCTTAATGCTATTGTGATATTTAATGGAATAAAATTTGTAATTTTAATTCGAGGTTCTTACTGAAGTCGTTAAATATAATTTATGACGTCATATTGATAAATATTATTTGGAAATTTAATGGAATAAAATTTGTAATTTTAATTCGAGGTTCTTACTGAAGTCGTTAGATATAATTTATGACGTCATATTGATAAATATTATTTGGAAATCGTTAGATATAATTTATG